GCCGCTCATCCTCTCTCTCTCTCTCTAGTTTCTCTCTCTAAAAAAAGGGAAAGGGAGAAGACGAAGGAACCTCTATCTGAGTTGGGGAGCTTATTAGGTCTTTTAGATTTGTTTGCGGCCGCGGCTGAAGAAACTGAAATGCCCAAAACCCTTGCTCTCCATATTCTTACCCTTTTGGGAATAAAATATTTAATTATGAGGGGATGCTTTATCTTTAATAACCTTTTTTTTTCTTTTCTTTTTTTCTTTTTTTGGTTTTTTAAAGAGTGGGGAACAAGCAACGAGGGATCTTCTGTTATTAATGTGAGAAAACGGGGGAAGAGTTGATAATAGATCACGCCGTTGTACGTGTATGGCAAGGATTTGGATCTTTTTCCGCTAAATTACAATTAGGTCTGGTTTGGTACGCGGGAATGGGGTGAAATAGAATGGTCATTCTCACTTCTCATTTATTCCTATCAAGCACATTCTCTTTTTTGAAGTTGGAATGCTCATTTCAAATTCTCATCAATTCCCACTTTATGTGGGAATGAGCATTCCCAATGAAATGATAGGAAATGAGCATTCTCACTTAAATGAGAATCAATAAAATATACAATTTTAAAATACATCTATTCTCACTTCATTTTATAAATTACACTTAAACGTGAGAATGAGAATGACTATTCCATTCTTATATTAATTCTATCTCATTCCTTCTTCTATTTCATTCTCATTTGAGACCATTCCCGCGTACCAAACGAGGCGTTAAATGTCTTATAGTCTCATCAATATATTGCACTTAAGTGACCGTTATTGTAAAACCAAGAATATAAATACCCTAAAGTATATATTATAAATAAATGACTAAAGTTTAAAAGATTACATTTTGGTACCCTCTTGTTTACTTAATGCTAAAAGTTGGTGCCTTCTTGTTTATCCAATATTGCATATAAATACCTTTTAATTTGTAAATAACCTTACTTTAATACCTTAAAGTTTCTATAAGTTACACTTTAGTGCCTGCGTTATATGATATTCTTGGATACGTCGAGAAATGTTAACACCATCTGGGATTTTTTTAACTTCAAGGTAGTAATCTGTAACATTTACATACTCAGAGACATTTATTTGTTCGATTTAAAATAAAGGTAACTTAAGTGTTAAGTGCAATGTTGGTGAAACTATAAGGCATTTAAATGCAATTTAGCCATCATTTTGCCTCTCCTATTGGATTTGGATGATTTACTGCCACAAGATAACGGAGGATAATCATAATGTATTTTTATTAAATTAATCAATAATTATAATACGTTTTAATTAAAAGTGGAGTTATTTATAGGCAGCACATCATATATTTCTTCCCATTGGACCCCTGTTCTATTTACCGAAAGCTCAAATCTATTACCCAAAAGTAGTTGATCTCAATCTTAGATTGTGTTTGGCAAATTCAAAAACCCGGATTAACTTGGGGATAGACAAAAAAAAAAACAGTTCCAGGGTCGAAATTTGGCCCAAAAAGAGCCCAAAAAAGAGCCGATCCCAACCATGTTTTTGCTAAACATTACACCATTCAAAACTGGGCCAGGATCAATTCTAGTCAAGTATTATGGGTTCGCAACACATGGCCTTAGTCTCAGAGGCACGGACTCAAGAAGTGTAGCCTGGCGGCTCATAAACAAGACTCGCTGACAAGCATAACACAAACAAATAAATAAACAAACAATGGTCTCTTTATCCGCATGTTTGCTATATCCACTCCCAAACAGTACTTTTGGGAGTTGGATTGCCGAAAATACCCTTTTGATGTTGAGGGTGTTTCTGGAATGGACTTGGCCTGTGATTGCCGAAAATACCCTTTTGATGTTGAGGGTGTTTCTGGAATGGACTTGGCCTGTTTTGGTTTGGGAGAAGGGCAATTTAGCTGGAATGGACTTGGCCTGTTTTGGTTTGGGAGAAGGGCAATTTAGTCCTCACACACCCCCAAAGTTACTATTTGAGAGTGTGAATAGTTGGACCCCTTTATCCGCCTCTTTGCACCAGTAATAGTTTAAATGGATAGATAAAACACAAGTACACAATCATAAGCATACACTAATGTGACTCACAAACCAGACCTATGATTATTTTATACTCTAACATGCCCCGTTGATTAAGTTCTGGAGAGTCTATTTTAAACTTGCAGCCAAAAAGAAACAATTCCTCTCTCTAAGTAGCAGCAGGCTTCTTCCTTAGGAGATGCTCCACCTGAAGAGAACCGATCTTTGCAGCAAGGATGAAGTCATTCTCAGTCAGTCCTCCTGTTTCATTACGGTAAGAAAACCATGTCATGATCATAGTCAAAAGAAAAATGCAAAAGAAAATATTACCAACAAATTACATTACTTCTTTCTGTTTGTTGGTTTTTTCCCCCTTCGTAACTTCACATGTTTGTTTGTGGATAGAATAAGTTTCTAAACAATTACAAAAGTCTTAGATTGTCAGGATGTACATCTAAGAAACATAATCAATCCCAACCATTTCCTGTTGCATTTACATTAAAAATTCAAAGAATGTCGACATCTTACAGATACTGGACAAACTTCGATGGAGGAAACATTTCAATACATGCAATGACGAAAGGTTCAAATAGGAACCCAACTATGTAATGCTGTAAATAGCAATGATAGCTAGTTCTATGTCTGTGGCTACAATCCGATGTCTTCAACTAAACAATTAATCCTATATGGTCAGGATGGAGAGAGGGCGATCTGGTAAATAATATTACCGAACCCTACAAATGCTGAAACACGCAATTCAATGTTCACAGTTATGAATAACCAAATTATCCTTGGTGAAAAGTCTCTGCCACTATACCAAAACTCCGAAGTTGTGATGGTTGAGGGTTACAATTTTATACTCTAACATGTCCCGTTGATTAAGGGTCCTTTCATTATTATTACACCAAAACTCTGAAGTGTTGTGCGCCTTTGCGAAAGCGTGCTCGCACACCAAACGAGTCTGTAAGCACGGAAGAAGATTAACAAACCCAACTCGGGTACAATCCAACAAAATATGACAAGTCAATCACAAACACATATATTTTAGCAATTTGTCTACGTCCACGAGAGCGGCACAAATAATTTCTTATTAATCACAAGAAATTACAAATAAGAGAGAATATCTCAATCTTGAGATCTCCCGACTAAATAGCAGGTGATTTTAATATAAAATCACTGCTCAAACTCTCTCTCTTTCTTAATTAACTCAAATCCCCTTCTTAAATATCACCAATCCCTTCTCTACAATTAATGAGAACAGGGACAGGGGAATCAAAAACGCAGAAAGAAAAAAAACGTCGTCGCTGCTTCTTTTTCTTCTGCTCTGCTCCCTGTCTGCTCCGCTCTTCACGCTCGAGAACAAGGGTTTCCCTTTTATAGGGAAACCCTAAGGTGAGCTTCTCCTCCAGTTGGCACCAACTGGCCTCCACTCGCAAGCGAGCTCCACGCTCCCAACAGGCGAGCTCGAACAGGCGAGCCCCATCAGGCGACTCCCCCTCGCCTCACCACGTTCGCCTGCAGGCGAGATCCACACAGGCGACATTCCACCCGCGTCAGGTGAGTTTGATCCTCGCCTTCGAAGACTTCGAATCGAGGTCAGTTTTTCAATTCTCCATCTCGTCCATCATTTGATAAACATCAAATTTTGAACGAACACCAGAAGAACACCACGAGCACCAAACCAGGCCCAAAACAGCTGCACCAGTATACTATGGCTGCCTACGTACCCTCTGACTGGGATCAAGCTAATCGTAGTTCTGCCAAATGGCCGCCAACGGCCTCAACAATTATGAATGTACAACAAGTTTCGACAATGATCAAACTTGTTACTCGGAACCATCTTTGTGAGCATATCTGCTGGATTATCCTTCGTGTGGACCTTCACTATCTCCACATCTCCATCTTCAAGAACATCCCGAACGAAGTGATGTGGACCTTCACTATCTCCACATCTCCATCTTCAAGAACATCCCGAACGAAGTGATAACGAACGTCAATGTGCTTCCCACATCTCCATCTTCAAGAACATCCCGAACGAAGTGATAACGAACGTCAATGTGCTTCGTCCTCGAATAAAAAACCTGATTCTTTGCCAAATAGATAGCACTCATGCTATCACAATGAACAGTGATGGACTTCTGCGATATACCAAGTTTCTCCAAAAGTCCTCAAAACCAAATCGCCTCCTTAACAGCCTCCGTAATTACCATATACTCTGCCTCTATCATAGACAAAGCCACCGTAGACTGTAAGGTGCATCTCTAACACACGGTGCACGGGTCAAAGTGAAAACATATCCTGTCGTAGACCGGCGCTTATCCAAATCTCCGGCATAATCCGAATCAACATAACCAATGCACAACTACCCACCTCTAGTGTCCTGCTCATAAACCAACTCAACATTGAGCGTACCTCGAATGTACCTCAAAATCCATCTCACGGCGTCCCAATGACCTATTCCTGGATCGTGTATGTATCTTGAGACCATGCTCACTACCTGTGACAAATCCGGCCTCGTACATACCATTGCGTACATTAAGCTTCCAACTGCGTTCGCATATGGAGTTTTCGACATCAACTCTCTATCTTCAACTGTCTTTGGTGAAAGATCAGCTGAAAGCTTCAAATGAGCTCCCAAAGGTATACTAACAGGCTTCGTTTTCATGCTAACGTTAAACCGCTGTAGAACCTTCTTCAGATAAGCCACCTGAGTCAAACAAATTCTACCATTTGCTTTGTCTCTGCTGATCTCCATCCCCAAAATACGCTTAGCCTCACTCAAATTCTTCATCTCAAACTTCTTTAAAAGTTGTGCCTTCAACTCATCTATAGCGGATCTAGAAATAGAGGCAACCAAAATGTCATCGGCATAAAGTAACAAATAAATGTACGCACCTACTTTTAACTTGCGATAGTACAGGCAAGGATCAAACTGACTCCGAATGTACGATTGACCGATCATGAAACCATCGAATCGCCTATACCGTTGTCGAGGAAACTGCTTCAAACCATATAGCGATTTCTTCAACTTGCAAACCAATTTATCCTTCCCTGCAGCTCGGAATATCAATGGCTGAGTCATATAAATTTCTTCATCAAGATCGCCATGAAGAAATATCGTTTTCACGTCCAACTGATCTAACTCTAAACCATATTATGCCATCAAAACTAGCAAAATCCGAATCGAAGAGTGCTTTACCACCGGAGAGAAAACCTTATTGTAGTCAATACCTTCCCCGTGTGCATAGACCTTCGCAACCAGCCTAGCTTTGAACCTCACTGGAGCACCTTCAATGTCCTCCTCCTTCGTGTATACCCACTTGCAACCAATTGTCTTCCGCCCCCTTGGAAGCTCAACAAGCTCTCATGTATCGTTCTTGTGAAGAGACTACATCTCCTCCTGCATAGCTATCTGCCACAAATCAGCCTCCAAACTCTACTCGGCCTCTCTGAATGTAGTAGGCACCATCTCATCGATACTCTCTATTGGAAGTGCATACGCAACTACTGTGTCTGTATACCGTGCTGGCGTCCGTATGTCTCTCCTCTGTCTCCAAACCGAAATCGAATCCTGAACCTGAGCCATCGGTCCCTGATCCTACTCATATGTACCCGTATCCTCGTCGTCGTCGTGCTCGTCTGGCGTCACCTCAGTCGGTACTCTAATGGTTACTGTATCATCTGGACAATGTAGATCTACATCGATCTTCACCACCTGTGATATCTCCTCCATTTAGTCGTTCTCCATCTGATGAGAGTTGGGAAGCTTCAAGATAGAAGCCTCATCGAATGTGACATCCCTACTCAGCATAATCTTCCTATCAACTGGATCTTATAGCTTATACTCCTTGACACCACACTTGAATCCTACAAATATAGCCTTCCTAGCTCGAGGTTCTAATTTATCTGTTCTCACATAATAAAATACAATGCACCCAAATACCTTGAGCTGGTCATAGTCGTGTGCTGGCTCTCCCGACCACATCTTCATAGGGGATTTCCCCTCAATCGTAGATGAAAGCAGCCTATTAATGAGGTGGCTCGCATATGATAGTGTCTCAGCCCAAAAGATCTTCTCCAAACCACTTTACGACAATAAGCATCAGACCTTCTCCAGTAAAAACCGATTCACCCTCTCTGTCACCCTATTTTACTGCGGTGTATGACTAACTGTGAAGTGTCTCTCTATGCCATCGTCTCGACATAGCTGTTGAAAGGGGTCAGAAGTATACTCACAACCGTTATCGGATCGTAACGTCTTGATCTTTCTCACAGTATGCAGTTCCAATCTCTTCTTCCATTTTATTCAAGGACTTCATTCTTATGCTTCATGGTGTACACCCAATAACGTCTAGAATAGTCATCTACAAAAGTGACGAACCAATGTCGACCACCAAGTGATGCAGTCTTGGTGGGACCCTAAATGTCTGTATGCACGTAGTCCAGGATGCCCCTCGTCCTATGGATGGCAGTCCCGAACTTCACCTTCGTCTTCTTGTCAAGAACACAATGCTCACAGAACTCAATCTTTTCACTCTTGGCTCCCTTCAATAGCCCCTACTTGCACAAAGCTTGCAGTGACTTTTCTCCTGTGCGTCCTAACCTGTAGTGCCAAAGTCTGCTCATGTCCGTCTCTAAAATAGCTGAAGCTATCTGGCCAACATCAGTGCTCCCTTTCAGATCATATAAGTTCCGACTGCGGATTCCTTTCATCACCACCAAAAATCCCTTAGTAACCTTTGCTACAACATTCTCAAAGGTCACCTTGAATCCCTTTATCTCCAAAGCTCCAACTGAGATAAGATTCTTCTTCAGCTGAGGAACGAATCTCACCTCCTTCAATTCACGGGCTACTTCATCGTGCATCCGAATCCGCACGGTACCTATCCCACAAATATCACAGGATTGATCATTCCCCACGACTACAACACCCCCATCGACTCTCTCAAATGATGCAAACCAATCTCGCCTAGGGGTCACATGATAGGTAGCGCCAAAATCTAATATCCAATCTGCTGCATCCAAATGATTCACCTCCGGAGTAATCAAAAGAGAAAAGCTCGAATCATCAGAATCATTGTTGCTAGCAACATTCTCCCCATTGGCCTTCTGGCCCTTTTTTTGTCATTCTCTTTCTCCTTGAGCTTCGGGCAGTCTCTCTTTCAATGTCTATGTTCCTTGTAGAACGCACACTGGTTCTTAGCTAACTGGTGATGGCCTCTAGACCTTAACCTCTCTCTATTGTCACCTCTCGGATATGGGCTTCTACCTCTTGTCGACAAAGCCTCCTGAAGTACTAGCGCGGGAAGTCTCCTTGTCCTTCCTCCTCAAATCATAATTCGTCAAAGTATTAGTAACTTCACTATAGCTGATAGAAGATCTCCCATTCAATAAAGTGAGCACGAAGGTATCATACTCCTCATCCGGAAAGGAACCCAACAAAATAATCGCCTTGTACTCATCCGGTATCTTCTCATCAACATTCACCAAGTTCGACAACAACTTAGTGTAGTTGTTCACATGAGCTGCTAGTGAGGTGTCTCGGGACATCTGAAATCTGAATAATCTACGCAGCAAATGTAATCAATTCTCAACACTCTTCGTAAGGTACTTATTGTTGAGAATTTTCCACATCTTCATTACAGACGTCACCCCAATCGCATCATACTTCAGCTCCTGTTCCAAACAGGACCTGATCACCCCACAAGCATTCTTATTCATCTTTTCTCATACCGTCTCTTCATATTTTGGTGGTCTCTCGTGGACCATAATGGTCTCCTCCAAATTCTGAGCATTTAGCGCGTCCTGTACGTCGCTCATCCACAAACCAAAGTTAATTTTACCGTCATATTTCACTACACTAATCTTAGTGTTTTAAAAACCAACTTGAACTGTACCCGATATAGTCTTGCTACTTTCTTCAACTACTTCTCTCATACTCATAATCTCCGAATTGTAAAAAAAGATCCAAACTTTGATAGAATTAAGAAGATACCCAACTGAACCCTAAATCGGATTCCAAATTGATCTCCTAACCACACAAGGAAAGCAAGATCACCACAGCACTCCTCAACGCTATCTCCACCGAAGCCTAGAACTCCAAGAGCCAAGCTTCCAAACTGAATCTTCCTCCACCTAATGCCAAAACCCTAAATCTAAAATCTGAAACTCTGATACCAATTGTTGCGCGTCTTTACGGAAGCGTACCCGCACACCAAACAAGTCTGTAAGCATGGGAGAAGATTAACAAACCCAACTCGGGTACAATCCAACAAATATGACAAGTCAATCACAAACTCAGATATTTTACGTGGTTCGACAATTTGCCTACGTCCAAGGGAGCGGCACAAATAATTTCTTATTAATCACAAGAAATTATAAATAAGAGAGAAGATCTCAATCTTGAGATCTCTCAACCAAATAGCAGGTGATTTTAATATAAAATCACTGCTCAATCTTACTCTCTTAATTAACTCAAATCCCCTTCTTAAATATCACCAACCCCTTCTCTACTAATGAGAACAGGGACAAAGGAATCAAAAACGCAGAAAGAAAAAAAATGTCGCTGCTGCTTCTTTTTCTTCTGCTCCGCTCTCTGTCCGCTCCGCTCTTCGCGCTTGAGAACGAGGGTTTCCTCCTATGGCGAGCTTCTCCTCCAGCTGGCACCAGCTGGTCTCCACTTGCAGGCGAGCTCCACGCTCCTAACAGGCGAGCTCGAACAGGCGAGCCCATCAGGCGACTCCCCCTCGCCTCACCACGCCCGCCTGCAGGCAAGATCCACACAGGCGACATTCCACCCGCGTCAGGCGAGCTCGATCCTCGCCTTCGAAGACTTCGAATCGAGGTCAGTTCTTCACGAAGTTGCTGCAAGACTTGAACCTGGATAGCTCTAATACCATGTCAAATATTCCTTTCACTACACCAAAATTCCGACATTGTGGTGAGGGTTAAGGGTTATAATTTCATGCTTTAAGATCCTACTACTTTTTTTATATACTCGTTGACCTTATCATTCATGTAAACACTACTAAACTGATTTCGTGATTGCATGAACACCACCACATACCCCTGACAAGATCTGTAAAAAGCTAAGTATCCTCATTCCTCACTTATGATACTTAAATACCAGATTGGAAATAGTAAATAATGGAGACATCAAAAGCAGTGCACTCATATGGCTGTTAAGAAACAATATGAAATGTATAATGTCTCCACTCTTCCAGAGAAACAATTAAAACAACAGAATAATTAAGAAGATTTTCTTGTCATGGTGATATAAAAGAAAGTAGACAGTGTATCTCTTTTTTTCTTGTTTTTAATAAGAATGAATTAGATAAAGAATAATTCAGTCACCAGTGATCTGATAACAGTGCATCTTATATATTACATGCAAGGTGGGATACTGCATCCTTAATATACTAACCAACTTACCAACTGCATGAGTCCATATATCAATTTTGACATCATTCCAACCAACCAGATGAAGATCAGGGTGATGACCTGAAACACCATGCAATAAACTAGTATTCAGAAAACTTGTTTCTTTGTGTGCAATAAAATAAATCACATATTAATTTTACAGTGAGAATAAATATTCTGAATGATACGAGTCGCCGTGCGAGCACCCTTTGGTCGCGGAATTACCAAAAGGTGGGTTGAGAAGGGGATGACCAAAACACAAGAACAATTCAGTATAAGGCGAAGGAAAATACCTTCTCTAGATTATAAAGAACAAAAGATTACAATCTCTCCCTCACAATCTCACTAGAATCGAGAACAACCTCTCAACTCCCTCTAAAACCCTAATACAATTATTAGAATTTCTCTTGATCACTTCTCTCTGAGATCTGATTGTTTAGAACCCTAAAACAATCCTATTTATAGATGTGCAAACGTGGATGGCAATCTTGTAAATAAACAAGCCCAAAAGAATCAGGAATCCCTGTCAAAACAAAATCCAAAACGAAACAGGAAACCCAGAAATCGCGATCCGGTCGACCGCCAGGCTTGGTCCGGTCGACCGGCCAGAGAGTTTTCTCAAACCCTGCATTGTGCAGGTTTTCCGGTCGACCGGCATGTGTGCTGCGGTCGACCGGCCAGAGATCTGTCAGTTTATCCTGTCCTTTTGCGTTTCGCTCCTGCTGACTTCTTTCACCGTCTTCTTTGGCTCCATCCATGCTCCTATTCTCAAGATATGAGAATCTCCTATCCTCAAGCTCCCATGAGGATCGCTAAGCTCCTGAAGAGAAGATACACCCGTATCATGGGTCCCCCCTTTAGGAACTTGAAGTCCCGTTCAAGTTAGAACTGAAACTGAGGGAACTCGCGAGCCCCTCCTCCTTTTCTGAACCACCTGGCCTTGCTAGGAATCTGATCTCGACGTCCGATCGGAAATAACTCATTCATCCCGCGTCTTGTCGTAGTCACTTCTCGCTCCAAGTTGCAATCCTTAATCGATGGTTTTTCTGGAAGTCTAATGCACAGCGAGACAAACTTCTTGCTTGCATTCACTAACCTCTTCGCTCGCGTCACCGTTCCCAAGCTTGTCTCCCTCGGAAGAGATGCCGAACGAAATATAAACTTTTCACCACCTTGGTGAATGTATACTTCTGAGCCCGCCTCTCGTAGATCGCATATCTATCCCATAAGTACGGATTGCCCAGTATAATCTGACAAACATCCAATGGAACTACGTCGCATGTGACCTCGTCAATATACGACTCATGGAGTGCAAATCTTACAGTGCATTGATCAACTACACTTAGCTTCTCCTCCTTCTGAATCCACCCTAATGGATAGGGCTTCGGATGCTTGACCGTCTTCAGACCCAGCTTCTGAACCAAGGCTTCGGATATCAAATTCTTCTCGCTCCCTGGATCTACAATAACATCCACTAAACTGGTCTTGACCTGCAACTTCAGAACAAAAAGCTGCTCTCTCGGGTCATCGTCCTCTTTCATGGCATGTTTCCCCGTCATAAGATTGAGACTGTTATTAGGCTCTGTCATCCCCGGGACTTCTTTCGGACCTTGAGCTATCATGTATGCCTTTTTCTCCTCCTTCTTCTTCAACCCTCTTGGTTTGAGATGAGGATACTTCTCCCAGCACCGATCAGCTTCGTGTCATGTCTTCTCGCAGTGACTATAAATCAGACCTGCTTTCCCTGGATCACCCTTCTTCTTCTCCTCCTTAAACTGAGAACCACTAGACTCGCCTCCAACTTGCTTTGCATCCCCCTTTGCTTCGTTGCTCTTCTTTTGCTTGCCCTCAATGGCAATGGCCTTCACGCTCGCATCTGCAATAGTCTCGACCGTGAATAACCTCATCTCCTTTCGGATGTAATCGCTCAATCCCGCCATATACTTCATGAACACGGAATATTCCTCTGTCGCAATGTTAAGGACCATCGCCTGCTGCTGGAACTCCGTAGTGTATTCTTGAACGGTTTGATTGGCCCTTTGACGCAAGCCATACCACTTGTACCAATGCTCCTCAAGGAATCCCACCGGATAGAACTGTTTCCTAAGTAGCTCATTGAACTTGTTCCACGACACTGCCTTCTTCTCCTGCTTGTAATAGGATTTTCACCATGTCAACGCACGTCCTGAAAGCTTCAAAGTCGCGAACACAATCTTCTCTTTTGCCGAATAACCATAAAGAGTAAAATACGTCTCCATCCGCTCGATCCAGTCATCAAGCCTTTCGACGTCAACACTCCCATCATAAATAGGAATCTCCACTCTGAAATCAATCTTCAGATTCTGGTAAGAATTCTTACCCCCTTGATGCGGTGCAGCCTTGACGGTCTCGTCCTCCTCGTCGGAGCCTGAAAGCTCGCTCTCTCCACCGGACTCTATAGGTTTCTTCTTAGACCTAGAAGAAGATTCCCCCTTTTCGTTCCCTTCTTGGATGAGACCGACGAGTTTTGTGAGCGTCGACCCTATCGTCTCGATCTGCTTCTCTAATGCATCAATCCTCGTTGAATTATCTCCTTCAGCCATCTTCTCCTTCCTTAAATCCTGGACTCCTTCCAATGAAATAAGGATCTCGCCAAGCTTCTTGTATGAGGAACGAGTAAGGACCATACACAGGATGCCCCTTCACCGAATCTAGTGCTCTGATACCAACTTGATACGAGTCGTCGTGCGAGCACCCTTTGGTCGTGGAATTACCAAAAGGTGGGTTGAGAAAAGGATGACCAAAACACAAGAACAATTCAGTATAAGGCGAAGGAAAATACCTTCTCTAGATTATGAAGAACAAAAGATTACAATCTCTCCCTCACAATCTCACTAGAATCGAGAACAACCTCTCAACTCTCCCTCTAAAACCCTAATACAATTATTAGAATTTCTCTTGATCACTTCTCTCTGAGATCTGATTGTTTAGAACCCTAAAACAATCCTATTTATAGATGTGCAAACATGGATGGCAATCTTGTAAATAAACAAGCCCAAAAAAATCAGGAATCCCTGTCAAAACAGAATCCAAAACGAAACAGGAAACCCAAAAATCGCGATCCGGTCGACCGCCAGGCTTGGTCCGGTCGACTGGCCAGATAGTTTTCTCAAACCCTGTATTGTGCAGGTTTTCCGGTCGACCGGCATGTGTGCTGCGGTCGACCGGCCAGAGATCTGTCAGTTTACCCTGTCCTTTTGCGTTTCGCTCCTGCTGACTTCTTTCACCGTCTTCTTTGGCTCCATCCATGCTCCTATTCCCAAGATATGAGAATCTCCTATCCTCAAGCTCCCATGAGGATCGCTAAGCTCCTGAAGAAAAGATACACTCGTATCACTGAAACTGAAATTTCAAAGTTAAAGGTAGAATTCTTTTCTTCTCTCCTCTCCTCTCCAGGGAAGAGGGAGAGTTGCAAAGGACAATACTTAATTAGAATTGTTGCTCATCACTTATGATCACAAACGATTATTAACACCACAATTCTCTGTGACTTAAGATCACGGCAAGTTGACACTACGTTATATATGTCATATACAACCTTTTTACACTTGAGGATCATTGTCATCATCGCTGCAGATTTATTACCATCTAGAATATAAATGAGACCTGGCTCTTGCCCAAGCAACCAGTCAAATTTAGTCAGAACTTGGAACTTGACATTCTTGAAATAGGGTACAGCCTAGGCATGGAACTGACCGGCCCACCTCTTTGAGTGTCAGAATTCTACTCCAGTTCTATTTAGCAGCTTGTAAGGTTGAAATATAGCAACTTCTTCTTTGAGTATTGTGTTGCTAGTAAAAAGTAACACTACTTTAGTTGCTGACGCATATGCATTTATGTTTATTTAAGAATGTTACACAGAAGACATGTATATTCTTGGAGTTTCTGATTTAATTTTCTAAGATTCAGTTGAAAGGCTTAGGTGCTAATTTTTCTACGATTCATTTTTTGTAACAAAGATAAACTATTTTTCCTCCCTAATGTATCGTCTAAAATTATTTTTCTTGGTATTGGAGACTTCGAATAAATAATTAGATTTTTCAACCCTATTCCAACTAAGCCCCAACACCCATCCCCACTCCACCCACCTTTCTTTACCTCAAAAAAAAGGAAGAAAAAGAAAAGAGAAAACACACACAGGCACACACACAAATAATGAAAGAAAACATACACAGAAAGACAAAAAAATACGCACGTAAAACAACACTTTTGCTAGGGATGAACTCAAGCAAAAAGAGAAATTTAAAATGGAGAAGCGGACTAGATAGATAAGATGGCTATGAATGGTTTCCATTCCCACGTGTAACGTGTCACATCTGCAGATGATATGTTAAGCATCATACTAGAGCATTCAAATCTTCACTCGCAGTTCGTTTTAATACAGTAACATCATAAATTTACCATGGTCAGGCTGCTGACAGGTATCTCATAACTTCGCATCGCTGGTTCCAACTTAATGTTTGGTTGTGTTGATAAACAATGTAGCCTAGATAGTAATCCCGCACATCAGATGCACAGGTTTCACAAGAGAAAGATATAAGATATGATGGACAAGATGAAACGGTATGCTATGTAGCATCAGAAACCACTAGGAAGTTTGCTGCACCAGGTGCCAAATTTATTCCAGAGTTAATGATAAGGCTAAACTTGCATATAAAGCTGCTTAACCTATTCTAGATGGTTTCCCTACTTGCACTGACAACAGACAACAAAAGAACCAGCACGAGGATACTTATGCATCTCAAAAGTATATATGTTTATATTTATGCATTTATGCATGCATGCATGTGTCAAGTATGTGTGCGCGCGCGTGCATGCGTATTTATGACTGAATGTGTGTAAAACCATGTGTGTGTGTGCACGTGTACGTACATATGATCATCTAAATAATAATTCCTTAGGATGATAAGAGTCACTGCAGCTTCATTCACGAAATGTCATACTAAAGTCTAACATTTAGAACATGGGAAAAAGAAAGCAGAAGTTGGATGTGTCTGTAATAATCTCTATATACATGCCCAACAAACAAATGATTTAGCTAATTGATGTTTGCTCCCTTTTGCTATTACATATTAGGTTACAGTGCACTACGAATATCAAAAAGTTTTTGAAGAAGCAAAAATCTCTAAAAGAAAAAGAATTCGGTGCAGGACATGAACATAGCATACCCACCTAGAATTTGAAGTCTCAAACAGATGATGAAATTTAATGAAATTTGAAAGCTTGTAATTGACTCTATACATGTCATACATGTCCTCAAAATGAGCACTTATATGAGGTAAACTCAATACCAACTTGAGGTTGTAGCTCATACTGCATGCACAAGACATTCTCGTGTATTCTAATTTGTTTTGCATGTAATCCTAATTATTTAAAATTAGTGTGACGTTTAAGTAAGTCAGATTGCACTCAAGATTTCAGAAGCACTTCAAGTATTCACCACTTACAAGATCATCACCACGTAGAAACTTGCATTAAAGAAGTGTGAATGTGATTATATGAAAAATGCATGTGACAACCCCACCTTCTGCTTCCGCAACATCTGCAACAAGCTGGAAAAATTCCAATCCTTTGGTGAAACTTTTGACTTTCCATGACCGATGTAGCTTCATCACACCACCTTCAGTTGACAGGTTCCAACCATGTACCTAATTATTACAAAAAAAATCAAGAATCATGAAGAATATCTGGACAAAGAACATAACATAAACCGTCTTAACCTGCGAGAGCTGTTCTTTTGCTGACTGTTCAGTCATGGGCCGCATATCCTTTGAGTTGCAGGGCACACATCTTTTGGTTGTCAGATCTGTGGTTTACGGGAAAGACTTTAGATAGAAAGCAATATAAGCGCAAAGCATCTACAATTATGCAAAAATCTGACCACCATTGGGCATAGACCTTGTTTAGAAATAAGAAAAGTTTAAGCAACTATGTCCATAACACCCAATACACAACCAGAGTTAGAGGCTACTGATGCAATGGGCTGAGGCAAATTTTGGGATTTTGAGAACTTTTTGTACTAGACCCCTCCTGTTTTGGCCCAGTAGCAGTTAGCTACACCAGCTCATAGCTTGTCTTAACTAATTCATTAATTCAATTTCGATGAACCATGATTACTTTACGAATGTTTAAATACAGCTCAAGCAATGCTCAAATCCTGCAGTCTACCCAGGTTTCAGGCTGTTTCCATTTATCAGGTTCATTCACCCGATGCTTAACCAACATGGACCAAATTGTATGTGTTTATTGCTCATTTTCCAGATGTACAAAAAAAGGGTTTTGCATCTCCTACTGTAAATCTGAAACGAAAGGGCTGATACATGGCAGTATCAACCTAGTTTTCAATTCCTCGTTCCTAGTTTCTGCACTAGGTTACCCCAACACTTCGTCTGGGCTCTCGCATCAGTGTCCTACACGTGTCCGACTGCGACACTTCTTCGAGACTCCTTGAATCCGCATACTTTTATTCAAACATATACTCAAATATATTATACATGCTTTAGCTCGTCATACAATTCTAGGATGTATATCTTATATTTCATATCCACTTCCTGCAATTCACTTAATGTGGATCAGGTTCATTGCAGCCCATATGCAGTTCCGGAAGTATGGTTTTAAAGTTCCTTTATGTAACTAGTTAAAAACAAGCAGTTTCCCAATGCATAATCTCCTTCACATTACACGTTTGAAGATTACTTTTGATAATTGAGCCTAGAAACCCCATGAAATTCGCCTTATCAAAATTCCATGTATTTCTCTATGACAAAGTTTATCTTGATTACCACAGATCTTATGTGCATGCTTTGACTGAGTTCATTTACCGAATATAATTTCAAAGTGAAAATAAAAACTTTGTTGTGTTTATCTCTGATCCCCACATTTGCAAAATTTCCCTTTTAGGTCATACATAAAGTACATAAGTTGGTACATCAATTGTGTAAAAATAGAATTTTTTGAGTTAATAACTAACAATAGTTCCGCAAATTTCCATGATTACTTCACTTATCAGCTGGAGACTTATGTATTATCTTGACTTTGAGATGCGACAATTTTTGACAGCGTCAATTTTTTGACAGGCTGTAGCCTGTAGTCACCATTTGCTCAGCCCTTGAAACCTTTTATAAGTGCACCACCAGCATGAATGTCTCCACATCCATTGTGCTCCCCTTTACTAATTGTAGACAGATATTAATTTTTAAGAAAATAACTTGCATTTTACATTACCTGTTATTGATTTCAATGGCATCCTTGGATTTTTTTTTTTTTAATTAATATATTTTCATGTTTGAGCTGCATGAGATTTGAAGGTTGCTACACTGTAGATAACTGCTTTGCAAAATAAAGAAGCCTGCAAACATAAAGCATAATTGTTCTATTTAACTTCTACTAAGATCAGAAAGAAAAAAAATTACAAATAAAAGACTTCCGGTGTAAAGCTTGACTACCAGATAATAACGCAGCAAAGGAAAATGTGGACATGGATGTAAATTTCTCCAGCCAGAAGTGGCCTTGCTTTACTACCAGATAATAACTTCCGGTGTAAAGCTTGACTACCAGATAATAACTTCCGGTGTAAAGCTTGTTCTATTTGCTATGCTTTGCTTTTTTTTAATATGGTTTAGTGTCTCTATTAGACAGAAAGAGTGGCCTTTGAAACATGTGGAAATTGAAGTTGGACACACACACATATATATATATATATGATGCTAGATAGCATATCGCTAAATTGCAGCTAGGAAAGAAGATAACAAAAAACTTGCAATAACAACCTATGGACTTTGGCAAAGTTGGTGCACACCTTGGGATGTTGAACAATAACCAAAAGCAGAACAAAGCTTCCTATTTTGAGGTACTTCAACAAAGTTGCAGGAATCTTGTATATTTGTGACCATGAACTGTAGGGATACAGCAAAATTTTAGTGTTTTACATGGCAATAGTAAATAACTAGGTGAGACTGAAAACATAGCATTGAATACATAGAATGAAGTAGAGAACACTCCCAACCTACAATAGCACACACTACCAGTTCTCCACATAACATCATTCCTAGTCACCCTCACATGCTCGCGACAAGCCTGCAACATTGGCTCCTTTTACATAAACTAAACTTGCACTCACCTAATAAAGCCACGTTGTGGTAGTGTGTTCCCTAATTAGATATGGTTTGTCTGTAAGTCTGCTATCAGGATTTTTCCCAATCCAATTGAAGATCAAACAATAAGTAAACTGCACAGACCCCTTCTACTAAAACCCCTACTCAACCGAAGAGGAAGAGAGAAAATTAAAGAGGAGAAATTCAAGTGACAACCATCAAAGGATCCTTCTTGTTCTTCGTGCACATACAAACAAATATCCACTTATCGTACAAGCCTGTAAATACCTTCAATAGCTAATCAAATATATACGTCTCTATTTCTAATCCCCCACTACAAAATTTAACCCAATCTCTTCAGATTTTGACCCCGGTTCAACAAAATCAACCCTGGTTTTCTCCAGCCGGGGTTGAAGGGATTGATTGGACTTTGAAAAAGAATTAGAAAGAAAAGCAGATGAAGGCTCACCCCAAATTTTACAGGCCACGAACCCTATCGGCCCGTTGCCCAAATCCGCTCCCAAAATCGCCATGGGTTCTTACTTATCCTACTCTAACTGGAATATTAATCCGATATTTATCTGGGGAGTTTGTTCTATTAATAAATAAATAAATAGACATTTTCATACAGAAATGATAGGTTGGAGAGAGAGCAAAAAAGAAAAGGCAGCAAGTAGATTGAACGATTACCGTCCATGATTGATGAAGGAGCGAGCGGAGGATAGAACAGGCACCTGCTGAATTTAATTAAAGGGAAATTAAACCCAGAAAAACAAAATTTGTAAAATTTTAAATAATAATATTTTGACTGCCGAGTCGGGACTAACCGCGGAGAGGGACTGGAATCGCGCTGCAACGGCGCTGCGCATTTCTATTTCTACTAAATCGAAGGGATTAAAACCGGAAGACGAAAAAAGTCGTTTTATATCAGAGATATTTGCAGGCGTTCTATTTGGGCCGTAGCCCAGTATAAACTACAACCGGAAGACGATAAAGATAGCTTTTTTTAAATTCTTTTTAATTCTTTCTTTTCTTTTTTTTTTCTTTTTGAGAGAGAAAAAGAAAGGATAATTTGATTATTTCCTTTAGAAAACAAACCCAAATGCATACTTCAGATTCACCAAGTACTTCTTCTCGTGATTTGTCATTTCTCTATCGTCCTCTATCGTCTAAGGTTGATGATGATACAAAGCGAGGAATCCCACTTTCATTCACATGCAAAAATCTCCTTGTGGGCACAAGATAAATCTTGTTTTATCCGTCTAACATTTATATATTTATGATCGTTCTCATATTATTGGTATGATTCGTCTCATCAAAATTAAGCTAAATATCGAAATTTTCACTGTTGTGTTGTCGTGTATTTAAATTACCATTATTGAATTATATGGTTATCTTCTCGCGCATGAGATCGCATATAAAATTTCGAAGATCTATATTATGTGCACATGGTATTCCTATAGTTAGTTATCGTGTAATATATATGCACGCGTTATATTGTCTCCTCAGAAGCCTTCATGCATCTTATTACGATGATAACTCAAGGGCCGTACTTCTAGTTACGTCTCTCTATCATACTTATTGTTCGAATGATTGTTTTGTACTTACTAGTTACTACTGCCAATGAGAATATGAACAATCAAAATTGAGTATCAGCAGAGACTAGAGAGTCATAGACTCATCCATGCTTGATTGGAGGATCCCCCACCTAATTAATTAGTTCCTATCCATGGATTTGGTACACCAAAAAAATAAAATGCATTCACATATATAATTTCTTTCAAATTGAATCCGAACAGGGACATCATTTCGGTAGGCATTTATTGTAACTAGTGTGCAATACAAGTGTTGCACGTGATACTTGTTATAATTATTTAGAGCAGACATGATTGTTTTATATTCTAAATTTGACTATAAAAGAATTTATATACAGATATAACATGGAAAAAGAGAAAACCATGGAAAAAATAAATACAATAATTAATAATTATTTCTACTTTATATGCATAATAATTCTAGATAACATTTTGGTTCAAAAAATTCCAACTACAAAGGTTTGGCATATGATTGAGCATTAAGGCGGAAAGTGTGCACTTATGCAAAAAGTTAAAAGAGATAGGAACTTCTTTTCTTTATGAATTTGCTTCTTCTGATCGAAGATAGTATCAATCAATTTTCTTTCACAACTATTCTCATTGTCACAAGAACATTTTTATTCGGTATATGTATGAAATTCGTATCTATTATAGACTCTTCCTCGTACTTACTCGAAGTCAGAACTCTCCGAGAGATGTCAATACAAGCATATTCTGTTGATGCTAGTTATCAAACATGTAATTATCTTCAAGTTCTTGTATTGATTAGGGTCCTCTCTCTCATTCTAATGAATGGTTCCAGTAGACATTGTTCTTCTTTGCAAAAGAAATAACTCGTAAGAGGACGGAATTGGGCTCTCTGGTGGTTCATCCGATGATCAAGTTTGTAATTAATTTTGAGTGAATGAGTATTAAGTCAGTTTTTAGTTTTTTGTAAGAAAAAACCCAGAGAGTGTTACCTCATGTAGTACATTCCCTTTTCATAGTATTTCTGAGGGGCAAGAGGATAACTTGGGCCGAGTCTAACTAGGCAACTGAGGTAGCAGACAGCTGACAAGTGTCAACCGTTGTGAGAGTGGCTGTCCAGGTGTTTCATGTTAAGCGACAGCAGCTGCTTGGTACCGACGAGGCCTGATAAGTCATAAAAACTTTGTTGACTAGAGCAATAATGACTTTGTTAGGGCAGTTAATGTAAGGTTAGGTGGTTGTCGGTGAGGGTTCGAGAGAACTATCATCGTAGAGGTGATTGGCTGGGTTGGATGACAAGTATCGTCTTTTGTCTCGATTACGCGAGATGTCGGCCGAAAAAGTTAATCAAGTTGGATTGCTAAGGAATTAATTGAAGGGTTAGCTGAGTAGTACCGCCTTTTGTCTCTGTTACGCAAGATGTCAGTTGTACAGTTGGTACAACTGATGCATATATTATTTTAGTTTTGACTTAGCTGTACAAACTGCAAGACATGTGTCCACTATTCAGTGAAGATTAATAATAATATTTTTAGGGGTATAACATATTCATATAAAGATTAAGAGAAAATTTCTCATTTCCCCCCAAATATATGATTTCTTAAGACTTTTGCATTGATTACGTTTCTTCTTTAGCAAACATAGTTACAAACAGGACTTGACAGAAGTCTCGTCTAATGAATTATTGTTCTGCTGAAAAGTATTTGATCACCCAAAATATCTCTTAATATTTTTTCGATGGTTCGACTTGTAATTTTTTTGTCATCTGTGCTTTATATTATAACATTCGCATGAACCTTGAGATTCCATCTAATTAATAAATAATTATAATAAATTTTGAATTGAGATGTTTTCTTAATATTTCTTAGAAAAATTTAGCCAAGTATATTTTTATTTTATATAACCATATAATATTGAGGTTTTTCTCATATCAATCTCTTGAATCCATCGTATTTAGAAATTAGTCCCACCAATCACTAAAATTGCTATTAGATCCCAAATTCTTAGCAATATATATAATATTATATGATAATACATTATTGTATTATGTTATTATTACGTACATGTGTGTGTATTCATAATATATTATAAAAAATAAAATATTATAATATTTATATAATAAGTATTACAAACATAATACTTTTTAGGGTACTTACTAGTTATTTCCTTGTGCAAACGGTGCAATGCATGAAACTTTCCATTATTATGTTGTTGTATCCATAATATCTTTACAAATTCTCGTACGAAGAATCAATGTATACAAATAAAGAATTCTAGCAAATAACAAAACAATAAAACTCAATGAAACCATATGGGAATTAGATTAGATTAAGTATAGAAGTTATCAAAATTTTCAATGTTTTAATGAGTCCATGCCAATGAACTTATATGTTTCATTAAGATCTTATTAATTCAACAAATGAACACATATGATGCACGACGTTTTATTAAAAGAAATGATAATTGTACTTGTAGAAAATATTTGGTATTTCTTTACTTATAAGAAATTTAGTGATTTTTTTGCTACAAAATTATTTCGTTAGTTGACGGTCTAAGTTCTAGCAAGGTGACAAAAAGAAAAGAAAGTTATTGTTTAGTAGAAAACTACCAATCACTGCTAGAAAACAGCATTTCACCTACGGAATAATAGCGACGGATATTTCCGTCGCTATAACGATTGTATTAGCGACGGAAATATCCGTCGCTATTAGTCCGTAGGTGAAACTATTGTACCGACGGATAACCACAATTTAGCGACGGATATTTTTCGTCGCTAAATTCTTTAGCAACGGAATATTCAGCGACGGACAAATCCGTCGCTAATAACTTCTATAGCGACGGATATTGCCGTCGCTAAAGTTTTCGATAGGGAATTTTTTTGGGCGCGGGCGCCCAAAAAATTTGGGCTGCCCGCGCCCGATAAAACTCTCTTCCCCCCCAGACCCGATTTCCCCCCTTCTCTCCCGAATCCTCCCTCCCCCCCCTCTCTTTTCCGGCGATCTCCACCGCCGCCGCCCCCTTTCGATTTAGTTATGAACTTGGCATGGTTGGTACTTGTATATGATTCAGATTCGAACTTGCATATAACCGAGCTCTTGTATATGATCGAATTCATATGTAACTGAATAAGGAGAGGGTTAGGGTTAGGGTTCGGTGAGGGTTAGGGTTAGGGTTAGGCGAGGGTTAGGGTTAGGGTTAGGGTTCGATTAGGGTTAGGGTTTGGGTTTGGGTTTGGGTTAGGATTAGGGTTAGAGGAGGGTTAGGTGAGGGTGGAGGTGATGTTGAGGGTGAGGGTTAGGGTTAGGGTTAGGTGATCGAGGGTGAGGTGAGTGTTAGGTGATCGAGGGTGGGGTGAGGGTGAGGGGTGATCGAGGGTGAGGGTTAGGGTTCGGTGAGGGTTAGGGTTAGGGTTAGGCGAGGGTTAGGGTTAGGGTTAGGGTTCGATTAGGGTTAGGGTTTGGGTTTGGGTTTGGGTTAGGATTAGGGTTAGAGGAGGGTTAGGTGAGGGTGGAGGTGATGTTGAGGGTGAGGGTTAGGGTTAGGGTTAGGTGATCGAGGGTGAGGTGAGTGTTAGGTGATCGAGGGTGGGGTGAGGGTGAGGGGTGATCGAGGGTGAGGGTTAGGGTTCGGTGAGGGTTAGGGTTAGGGTTAGGCGAGGGTTAGGGTTAGGGTTAGGGTTCGATTAGGGTTAGGGTTTGGGTTTGGGTTAGGATTAGGGTTAGAGGAGGGTTAGGTGAGGGTGGAGGTGATGTTGAGGGTGAGGGTTAGGGTTAGGGTTAGGTGATCGAGGGTGAGGTGAGTGTTAGGTGATCGAGGGTGGGGTGAGGGTGAGGGTTAGGGTTAGGGTTAGGCGAGGGTTAGGGTTAGGGTTAGGGTTCGATTAGGGTTAGGGTTTGGGTTTGGGTTAGGATTAGGGTTAGAGGAGGGTTAGGTGAGGGTGGAGGTGATGGTGAGGGTGAGGGTTAGGGTTAGGGTTATTTGATCGAGGGTGGGGTGAGTGTTAGAGTTATGTGATCGAGGGTGAGGTGAGGGTGAGGGGTGATGGGTGAGGGTGAGTTTGAGGGTTAAGGTTAGGGTTAGGGTTAGGGGAGGGTGAAGGTGAGTGTGAGGGTGAGGGTTAGGTGATGGTGAGGTTGAGGGTTAGGGTTAGGGTTAGGGTTAGGGTTAGGTGAGGGTGAGGGTGGGGGTGGGGGTGAGGGTGAGGATAAGGGGTTAGCGTAACTATTATACGAGGGGTGTAAGGAGTTCACAAGGCTTTCTTTTATGCTGAGGCTTATTCATA